TTTGTTTGGTACTGAAATTAGTTTGGCTACAACGCCTAGGCAGGCAAAGTGCACACTTGTCACTCAGAAACAAAATACAAGATGCTCACTATTTCCCACGTACAAGCCGCCCGTAAGTGTCCACCTACGATCACACGCAGTCAGTGGACAACAATGTACTCATGCACCACTCTCTCTCTCTCTACACACACACACACACACACACACATCCACCACGCTACACACACAACTACGCCACACAATACCCACATCCACCCCATCACATACCGTTGAGCTCTCGCGCCTACGTCCGTTCCTGTAAGACTCCTCCGATGCCTTACTCTCACGCCCTCTCTCCGTCTGGCGAGATACACTCTGACGGGACTCCGCCTGGCGTGACACGGTCACCCTGCTTTCCTGCCTACTGATATCCCTACCGTCACTCGCCCTACCGTCACTCGCCCGCATCTCCTGCGAGGCTTTCGTCCCATTCACACCCACCCGCCCGGGACTGGCGCTGCGCCGGTTACGCGAGTTGCTTCGTCGGATCGCGCTCCGGTCGGTGATCTCCCGCAAGCCTCTGGGCGCCTCTGGTTCATCGGTTATCGTCCCCATCGCAGTACACTGAGAGGTGCTCTTCTTCCGCCGCAGGGCCTTGGGTGTGCGCGAGCCGTCCTTGTTGTAGTACGCTTCGTACCGCTCTCGCTCTCGCGTGTTCTGTGTGGTCGTATCGTCCTTCCCTTCCGCCAGAGGTGCGCGTGCACTCGAAATTCGGTGGCTGGACCGGTCTCGCTCGGACGTGTCCCTCTCCTGCCGGCTGGCGCTCCGCTCATTCCTCTGTATTTGTCTACTACACACCCTGCCCTCGCTCTGTTCGTGCCCACTGCCTCTCTCCCGGTCCGCCTGTCTGCTACCCACCCGCACAGGGGGTGCCCTGTCCGTCTGTCTACTGGTCGCCCATTCGCTCTGTTTAATTGACACCTGCGAGTCCCGCATGCCACGCTCTCCCGCGTGTCGGCTACTCGGTTGTCTAGTCCCCGTACTAGCACCGTCCTCATACCCTCGCGCCACTCGTCTCGGCGCAGCATAGCCGTCGCCATCTCTATCTCGCTCCACAGAACTCTGCCGACCCGCAGAGTCTGGCGACTTGTTATACGCTGTGCGGTGCATGTCGCGGTGGTCCCGCTCACGGTCCACTCCCCGCTGATCACGCGGGACGTACTGCCGCTCAGGCACCGCTGTGTGCTGCTGCTGGGCTTCTGCCGAGGCCAAAGTCGTATACGTTTTGCTTGGCGGCGGGTTAGATGCACGCCTTACTGTGCGTGGCGTGTACCGTGTGCGTCTGTTAGGGTTACCTGTGACTGAGTTTGGGTCGCTGGTGGTCCTACTGGCGGCTTGTGTGGTCATGGCCCCATCTGAGGAAAGTGCGGTACTTTTGGGCGCGTGTTGTGCCGTGGTGATAGCCGTGCCTAAGGGATACATGCAAGACAAAGTAGTTCAGGGTTAGTGGTGTGTACCGGGGACTCGGGGCGAGGAAACCTTGAGATTGTGTAGGTACGGTGTGGGTTCAGCGGTGGACGAGAACGGATTGTGCAGCCCAGGTTTACGCGTCTATTGGCATTCATTTATCACCGATGGAGAGCATCAAGGCAAATCCCACAACATAGAGACGTGCGTAATATAACGAGCTGACCCTTTCACCCGAATGTAAAGTTCGCTACTAGATACATTGCCAATCTACTACAGTGTGCTATAAGCCGCATTGAACAGTCATACCAGCCCAGCAGTACACTCAGGAGAGTTGTTTTATTAGTAGGTAGAATCAAACACACCACGACCATATAATTATTCGCAGAGCAAAAAAATGACACACAAACAAGGGCCTATTTTCATTCTGCACAGACTTATCCACCACCATATAAGCAACTATATATCACCTCAGCGTGCATCAAAATTACTTTATAGACAAATGTGTGTCTATAGCAAAATATAGAGTTCATTGATTGCACGCAGTACGTACCTTTAGAGATTGAAATTTGCTTCTTCTGTACCCCCGGGGGAGAACTGATGGTCATCTGAAAGGTAAATTAAAGGCATGAGACGCAAGACTCTTGGTCATAATACGATCGCTTATAACCAGACACAAAAATCAGGTGTTCTAAGGTAATCAATATCATATAAGATCCAATTGACTAAGTATTCAGATATAAATATAAATATAAATATATATATGTATATGCACAAAAAACAAACAAACACAAACACAGAACACAGACACACACACACACACATATATATATATATATATATACGCAGATATATATATATATACGCAGATATATATATATATACGCAGATATATATATATATATCTATATATATACATGTATACTTATAAGTTC